TTTTTTGCCCAGTCTTGCTATTACCATGAAGACAAGCAACAGAAGTAACATCCAGGACACCAACACCCAGTCACACAGCTCCTAATACCAACAGGTGGGTGCTGGAGAACTGCTTCTCCATCTTGCTCTGACTAGTACCACTGCTACGCAAGATCTCCTGGACCACTACTGGGTGGGTCCAACCAACTCTGCAGGTAAACATGTAGCCTCCCCACCATGTCTTTAATCCAGGGCCCAGCACAGCCTGGCTACTTAACCTTGGCTCATGCTGATGAGAAAATCAAAAAGTTGTGAGAAAAAGCTCGCAAAGTTTGTAGAGAAGAGTCAAGAAAGATAAGGTAAAATTACAAATAGAGGTGGAATTGTTGAGATTGGTGTCAGTAGCACTTCAAGGATTTATGGGAAAAAAACCCCTACCAACATGAAAAGATTAAGAAATGCCAAAGGAAAAAACAGAAAAAATCTCTCAGAAGATGGCAACTCAGCACCATCAAAGAGCCAAGGAGCCCTGGAGGACAACCCTTCCTCTTCTAGCTGATGCCTGCCTGGCTAGTAAAGACACCTTGAGGTGATGAGGATACTAATGCTTAGTCGAAGAGCTTATTGAATCCTAACCATCTCCTGTTTGGCTTAATAAAGAAATATTTTATACCTTGTGCATACATTGCTTGCAGCACTGATTTGTGCACAGTGAAAGTTGTTTCAAAGGGCCCAAAACTAACACAGGACCCCTTACTTAAGGAAGTGAAGTTGACTTTGAATCCTACCGTGCTTTCTCAGGTGTGTCCTGTTGGAGTGTGGCTGCTGTTCATCCTGGGCTGTTCCTGGAGACCAACATGTAAAACCTCACCCTATGAGCTTCTCTGGTTGCTGTTAGGACACTGTTAAGCATTAGCCAGTCTGTCTTCAAACTTATGGAAACACTTGCATGCACTCTGCTTCTCTCCATTCATGTCTTAGCCAGGCACAAATTGATGGGACCCACCACTAAGACAGCAAGAAAGTCTCTGAAGAAGCCTTTATTGTACTTTTGTTATTTGGCCTTCTGGCCCTAAAATAACTGTGTAGAAAATCCTTCACGGAGTAGTGGAAATAATGGCATTTATGAAGGTCCTGATGCACGTTCCTGCCGCAGCACAAGAAACCACACGGCATGCATGGAGTGCGTGAGCCTGGCACACCTTTCCCAGCGGCTGCAAAATTGACTGCTGCACCTTGGGCTGTGCTTTGCCCCTTGCCTTCCCCATTCATACATCCCCACGAGGGTCCACAGAGCCAGGAGATCTGACACCAGTGCATCAGACATAACCTGGACAAAGCAGCTCGCAATGGCCACTGGGGATACATCCAGTACTCTTCTATCACCATCTTCACTCACCTTCCCCCTTACTAAACGTTTAATCTTCACACCTCTCCTTTTTTTTTTCTCCAAACACTTGCCTCCAAAATACTCCAAATACTTCTCCAAATGCTTCTCTGTGTGTGGTTTCTCCCTTGTCTTAAAACTCTCCCCAGTCTGGAAATGTCCCTCATTACTTACTATCACAGGCCCTTCTTTTAAGCATGAGTCCAAAATCTCTCCCTCTCCATCAGAGAAACTGAGTTCATGTGTGTGTCCTGACGTCAGTGACATTTACATGATCCAAATCTTGCCCTTAGGCTTTGCTGTCAGGATCCCAGGTTGGTAAATCAAGCAATTAAGGTTTAAGAGATTGCAGATTAGTATTTAAAAATATGACATTTAAATTCAAATTACCACAAAATTACTGCAATTTTGGTATGAAAAAAAGCAAGCTATAAAATTGATGTATTAAACTCTGTAATTTTCTCCAAATTTTATGTTGAAACTGTATTTTCAATGATTTATGACGATACTTAATTTCATCATTCAGTGTTTTCCAAAAGGTTTTGTATAACCAAAGGATGCATCATTTCCCTAGGAGGCTGAATACTTGTTAGAAAAAATAATTACTTACATACAGCTCTATTAACATTTGGAGAAGTGTTCCAATTTCTGAAATTGCACAGAAATGGTTCAGATTTATCTGTTCCTTTTTTCCCCAAAACCTTTAAAGCTTTTGGGGCATAATTCCCAAGATGTCCAATGCAAAATACAAACCATTATCCTAATGGCTGTCATTCAACTGGAGTAAAATATGAAGACAGAGGTGCTGCTACCAAGCAGCAGCATAACTACCTGTCGAACCAGGAGTCAGACTCCGCACCTGCTCCTTCCTGGCCACGTAATTCTTACAGACAAGATCATAAGAAGGTTCTCTGTCCTGGCTTCATCCTTCTGGTCACTACCTCTTGTATGGCTGGCTATGGGGCCCCTTGTTCCTGCTCACCCTGTTAGGTAGCCAGAATAGTTATGTAGAAAGGTGGTCACCTCAGGATCCAGTGATGAAATCCCAATTATCCCACTATCTGGGTAAATGCTCCATGCACTAGGCAATCCTGACAAACTTCCTGAATTCTGCCTCTCTCATGCTTTAAAAGGGAAAGGTAAGTAATTTCTCCAAATCGAGAGAAAATGGTAAGGGGAGTAGAAAGCTATTTTTAATATAAATGTTATATATCAGGGAGCTGAAATTTTTTCACTTTATTTCAGTATATTTGGTTTTCATGGCAAGGTTTTGGTAGCAAGGGGGGCACAGGGGTGGCTTCTGTGAGAAGCTGCCAGAAGCTTCCCCCATGTCCAACACAGCCAATGCCAGCCGGCTCCAAGATGGACCCACCACTGGCCAAGGCCAAGTCCATGAGTGACAGTGGTAGATCCTCTGTAATATCATATTTAAGAAGGGGAAAAACTGCTGTGGAACAGCAGCTGAAGAGAGTGAGAATGTGGGAGAAACAACTCTGCAGACACCAAGGTTAGGAAAGGAGGAGGAGGAGGAGGTGCTCCAGGCCCTGCAACTTGCAGTGAAGACCATGGTGAGGCAGGCTGTCCTCTTGTAGCCCACGGAGGTCCATGGTGGAGCAGATGTCCGCCCGTAGCCTGTGGAGGACCCCACACCAGAGCAGGCTGATGCTCGAAGGAGGCTGTGACCTCATGGGAAGCCCTCACTGGAGCAAGTTCCTGCCAGGACCTGTGGCCCCATGGAGAGAGAAGCCCACGCAGGAGCAGGTTTGCTGGCAGGACTTGTGACCCCATGGGGGACCCGCACTGGAACAGTCCCTTCCTGAAGGACTGCACCCCATGGAAAGGACCCATGCTGGAGCAGTTAATGAAGAACTGTAGCCTGTGGGAAGGACTCATGTTGGGGAAGTTTGTGGAGAACTGTCTCCTGTGGGAGGCACCCCACACTGGAGCAGGGGAAGAGTGTGAGGAGTCCTCTCCCTGAGGAGGAAGGAGCAGCATAAACAATGTGTGGTGACCGCATCACCCATTCCCCATCCCCCTGCACTGCTTTGGGAGAAGAAGTAGACAAATCAGGAGTGAAGTTGAGCCCAGGAAGAAGGGAGGGGTAGGGGAAGGTGTTTTAAGATTTGGGTTTTTTTCTCATTATCCTCCTCTGATTTAATTGGTAATAAATTCATTTTCCCCAAGTCAAGTTTGCTTTGCCCGTGACAGCAACTGATGAGTGATCTCTCCCTGTCCTTATCTCAACCCATAAACCTGACACTTTTATCTTCTCTCCCCTGTCCACCTGAGGAGGGGAGTGACAGAGCAGCTTTGACAGGCACCTGGCATCCAGCCAGGGTCAACCCACCAGTCAGAAAGAAGAATCTCAGATACACTTTCCCTCCTGGGGCATTTCTATCCACCTGGCTTATGTCTCCTTCCTTTTCCTTTTCTCAAGTAAGTGCTGGTTGGTCTAAATCTTACTCTGAGGTGCTTCATCTCTCAGATGTGCTACGCAGGGAATACAGGCACCAGCAACTTCAGGGCACTGCAGTGTCGAGTATCCAGGTTTCTCTTCTTATGTAGCCCTGCTTCTCTGTGGAGAAACACAGTCTCGAGAGCAATTTTGGGTTGTAGTAGTCAAATTTATTTCCACTGTAGAAGCACACTCGTTTCAGTAATAAAAAAATAACATTTTTTTTGCAGAATAAAAGTAATCCTGTAGTGGTATAAATATATTTACTTGCACAAGAATCCATGTAAGTCACTCAACATATATTCAGATTTAGTATTCTCATAGCCATAAATTTCAAATGGAGTCAACAAAAGATAGTTGCTTACAGAAAGATAAGATATGTGAAATCTGGCTCAGTTGGGATTTAAACATAGATGAAACAATAGAAAGCTTCCTTTTTTATTATTATTTTAAATTAACACATTGCTAATAAAAATACTGACAGCTTTCAGCACTGACCACTTCTGTCTGTCTAATTAAAATGTACTATATGGTGTCAGCCATAGAAGCCTATTCTGGCTGCCTCACAGATGACCTCAGTGCTGGCCAGGAAGAACCAACATCCAGAGTGTTAGTGTTCAAGCTCAGTGCTCCTTAGTCTGTGCTCAGCCTCTGTGTCTCCACTCCCGAGACTGCCATCACCAGCTACTGTCTTTCAAGGACAAACCAGGTCTAGCATTTACCTCAGGGGTCATCACAGATCCATCAGACATTATGCCTCATCAGTCAGCAAGACCCAATGCTATACTCATACAGGTGCTGTATTCTGTACAGCATTAACGACCTGGTGCAACCAACAGTCCAGCTTATAGTAGGTATGGCTGATGTGTAACTTTCTAATACGAATACTTCATGGAAAAGGAAGAATACTATTTTCTGCACTCCCATTCAGTTCAATCCATGGAACAACAGTAAACATAACTGCAGTGAATTTAACTTGTACTTTAACTTTTTGATAATTCTTGAACTCTTTTTCCAGTTGTGGGGGTAAGAAAAAAAAAACAAAAAGAGGAAATTAAGCTTAATGAATCAATCACATCATGACTCTGTGTTACTGCGTTCTAACTTACACTTATTTACTGTGTAGGCTATTGTCAGCACCATGCCCTCACAACATATGTTGATTTATTCTGATCCTTACTTACTGTTAGTACAGTGAAAAAAGTACAAGGTTCAGCCTTGATTCTTCTCAATGTGTCTGAGAGGAGGACATCAAACTAATACAACACAATACTGAAGACAAGAGAACATAACATTTAGTTCTGATACACCGAAAAGAATTCCACACATAAGCTCACTTATGTAGGCACACTGACATACTGAGCACCATTCCTTTTTCTTTTTTTTTTTCTTTTTCAGTTTAACATCAACATTCAACTCTGAACAGAAGAATGTTAAGCCACTAGGACAGATTCAGTATTAAGAAAAAGAACTATCTCTATTTTACAAACACTGAAACACTAATGACACTTCAGTCACAAAGTTCACTGCAAGTGACCTTCTCTCTGAATTCGAAGGCGCTCCTTCTCCACTTGCAAGCGCTCCTTCTCAATCTGCAGCTTCTCTGACTCAAACTTTAGGAACTGCAGCCTCTCTTTCTCTAACTGCAAACGTTCTTTTTCAAGTTTCAACTTTTCAGTTTCTAGATCCAGAGGCTGCATGATGGGTTTTTCTGTTTGGGTGAGGTCATTTTCCAGGGCAGGTTTTTCAGCATGCAGAGTCTCTAGCCTGAGTTTCTCCCATTCAATCTGAAGTCGCTCCTTCTCAATCTGAAGCCTCTCACGCTCCAAGTCAACGTGCCGCAACCGTTCTTTTTCAATTTGCAGGCGCTCCTTCTCCACTTGCAACCTTTCGGCTTCAATGTCTAGTCGCTGCTTCTCCAGCTCCACCTTCTGCTTCTCCAGATTTATAAGCAAGTGAGAATCTTCATAGGCTAGCCTAGCTTGAGCAGAGCTTAGATTTCCAAAGTCTTCAATGTGGGGGAAGTCTGGAAGGTCATTTTCTTTTTTTGAATCTGGCAAAACTGATGACAAAATTTCTTCTTCTTCCTCAATAGGAAACTGCAGAGAGGAATGTGAAAGACAACAATTATGTTATAGTCTTTATGCCAGAATAAATGTGTTACACCCAACTTGAAAAAAAAGAATATATTGGTTTTTTTCATCTTAAAAGGTATTCAGAACTGTAACTCACATACTGTGAAATAATCATGTTAGATCAAAACTCTGTTTTCTACCATTACACGGGTAGAGAAACACACTTTATTTGCAAGTTACTATTTGGTAATGAAAAATAGAAAAACCAGTTTGTCAGTGGACATGCAAGAATATACAGAATATATTGCACAACAGATATTATAGAGCATTCAGAACCACTGATAGAAAACTGGTCTAAAAATAAACCCCATATGTTGTTCTTACTTTTCATATAGCTGAGTGACATTTATGTAAGCCACCAGGAATTTATTGTGGCTAATTATTTAACAGAGCAGTTGGATCCATAGGCTGACATGCAAGCTAACTCAGCCTTCACTAACTTGAGGGTTCCATTTCTAAAAAACTTAACACTGACATTTTTCACATGCTCCTAAAGCCCTTCAAACAGTATTAAGTGGGTCAATAAAGAGGACTTGTTTAACCTATTTTTTATTATCACATTTGCTGTAAAGTTATTTATGATGCAGATGACTAGGTGGTTAGGACCATTGCTCTTGGCAAACTGTAACACCTTGTGCAGAATTATAGCCCTTATGTGCTACAAATTCACTGTACACAAGGGATAATTGTCTCTTGCTAAGTACACTGCGAAACAAAGGTAAACTGAGGAAGATATGAGTTCAGAAAATCTTAAGACAATGAGAGCCACTGCCAGTCCTCTAGCATTACAGCAGACACTGTTCTTCAGCAGTTGTCAGACAGTAGTCTCACCACCATTTAAGAGCTTATGCTGATTTTTTCCCAGCACACATAACTGAGCTAAGACAGGAGTTGCTTGCCCTGCCACGCTCACCCCCCACCAAAAAAAACCCCGAAACCAAACCTGGGTACACCTTTTTGAAATGAGAACTGTATATTTGTATAGGCTCAACAAAACTACCCTAACATTTTACTTCACTCCAGCTGGCTGCCTACCCCAGGAGAGTCAAAGTACTACTAGGAGTAAATCTGTCTACAGGTTGTTACTGATCCAGAGCTGCTTGTCAAATTCACACTAAAATTCTGACAGAGTGGAATGGCTGACTGAGGTATTCAAGTAGTATTTCATCTCCTGCAGGTTCACTGTAAGAAATGCAAACACTGTTCTCCTTCTTTCTGTATTCTATTTCTTTCTGTACCTGCAGGTAACATACTTTAATTTGTTAAAGAGGTGCATTTCTCTTCTCCGTTCATCCCTCCAGACAGCCCAAGTATTTAATATAGCAGTGCCCTTCAACAGCGTATTTTCATTCTACCGACTGAACTGATTCTTATCAATGGCACATACAAATGGAAAATGTGCAAATACATATTCAAAGTTGAGGGATATCATTTTAATAATCAACATCCACGACCTTAAACACAACTGCAAGTTGCTAGGTTTGAACACCATCTCTCTGAAATGTATTTGCTTCTACAGTTTCTTTAATTCACACACTTAGAAAAAACAGAAACGGATGCTACGAAGAAACACAACAAAAAACTTTATGCTGAAATGAAACAAAATTAATACTGAATATAGCTAATGTATGTCAGTCACTCACTTCAAAATTCTGCGGATCCTCCTCTTCCTCTTCTACTTTGATTTCTGTTAAAGATCCACCGGCTTCTCTGAAGTCAGTGATATTTTGCCATTCAAAACTAGATTCAATTGCAAATCCCATTTTCTCATCCATGTCTTCATTGAGAGAGTCATCTAAATTGGATGAAGGAAGGTGAAACCCAGCACCTACTACTTTGATGTTTGCATTGAGACGTTTTCTCTTCATGAGTGCTCTCCAGTCAAGGTATCGCCTTTTCACTTCTGTCCCTGTTCTTTGCTCTCCTTCACCTACAGCATTTACACACTCTGCTATTTCCTCCCAAGCTTTCCGTTTCATCTCATTAATTGTTGTATTAAGTTGCTTTGAAAAGAGTACTTCTCTCCTTTTTCTGATTTCCTTAAGGAGAGTTTGAGTTTCCTGAACGCTAAAATTGCTTTTTCTTTTTCTTTTTAATTGTTTCATTTTTTCCAGCTTTAACCTAACAATTTCACCACAGTAGACTACAGAGATGATCTGATACTAATCAGTTATTAATACAAATAAAATTTAAAAGACCATGAAAGCAGAGCTCAGTTCTCGTGAAGTGAATTTTCTCTTCACTTTGTAGTATTTTCCTATTTGTCAGGCTTCCTAAGAGAAAAAGAGCAAACAACATAAATCTCCAAGGTATACACTGTATATTTTTATCTAACAAACTTGACTCCTAAGTCATCATTTAAGGAATGCATATTTTGAACTGATCATTCATTTCATAGAAGAATACTGTTTTGTTAAACTCTTGACTATAAAGGAGCTATAGATACCTTCTCTAATCTCACATGAGCTATAAATCTATTAATGCATCCATGTCACAAACCGTTAAGGTTGAGTTGATATTTCCATTACAAAAATACAGCTATTTTCCTTCAACTTTTAGAGTTTTGCCAGTTAGGACTTGCTTAAGGCTGAAATTTGACATACACATTTCAGTTTGAATGCTAAATTATTTCCAAAAGAAGCTAAAATTGTTATATCATTACTTCAAAAACATGAAATGTCCAAGGGACTGAAATTTCTGAGACACATTTTAAATAAGACACCATTTCCATTAAAAAAAAAAAAAAAAAGCAGATTAATATGTAAAGTTGAAGTTAGAGGCCCTTCTGACTTAATGACAAAAAAAGACCTAGAGCAATTCTACTAAATGTCAGAAAATAACTACTAGTTCAAACAAATGTCATGTGTTAGAGATGTTTTAACAGGAAATCGGTTTAGGACTAAGTCACTACACACCCATGATAAAGCCCTCATCTATCCTTCTCACACTGCAGAACACCTCACGTCAGATGTGATGGCAGGTTGAAAGTTCATCCAGTCCTCTACCCTCAGCAATAGCAGGTCCTGTGCCTGATGCTGAAGAGAAAGCTAAAGCCCAAAATACTTGACAGATTGTGCGCAATTCTGTACAGAAAGTGGAAAGTTTGAGTGGGAGAAGAAGGGGACTATTAACACCGTGATGAATACTTCATAGACCACATTACCAAAAAAGCAAAACAAAACAAAAACCTGAAAGCAGAGACTGAGAATAAAAAAACACTTCTGGGTCACAGACTACTTGGTAATGGTCCAATTTCAGACTTATTTTGAACTTTTTTTTGTACCACGTTACTACCACTTTAGGTAGGTTTAAAAGGCTTTAGACCAAGTAGGCCAACAATTCACTACACAGCACTTACAGTTTCAAGCTGTTACATTTGTTCATTATTAGTCTAGTATAGACCTTTGTCCACCTGAAGCAAATGGCCTGCAGATTATATATTTGATTGCTGCTGAATAATGGACTTAATCCTTAAATAATTCCCCTCCAAGCTATACAGGATTCTTTAATACTAAGTATTTTTTTCTCCTGTTATTCTCCTAAACTTGGTTAAAACATACACATCAGCACATTACTCGAAAACTCTCCATTTGGGGGATAATGCACATAATTGCTTAGACACTGTTCTTCATCTCCTGTGTGCTACTGACTGTAAATAAGTGGTTCACTTGCAAAGTTTTCCATATCAAGCAACATTCTTTTATATGCAACATGTAAGTACACTGGCATCAAATATTTTTTAAAATACTGCATTTAGAAAAGTGTTTTACTACTTTTACTCATCAAAATACTGCCCTCACTGTGAATGTATTTACTTCCAATGGTTACTAGCTAGCAAATATGCAAAACTGAGTTCCAAGAAGAAATCAATTGCATAAAGCATGAACATGTATCAGCATGAACCCCTCTACAGTGCTCTCATGCAGTTACCCAGCACTTTTGTCTCCTCAGACTCAGGTTGGAAGCTGCATGTTGCTGTTTAAGATGCATGAAGCTTCCTGCCCTTCTGAAAATAAAACACTAATTGGTTTTGAGAAAAGGGAATTATTTAAAAAAATAATATAACCTACTATTTTAATGTAGACCCTTAACTTGACATGTCCAGTACTAAAAAAAAGTTGCAGTTTAAAAAGTCAGATTTATACCACAACACAGCACTGTATCTGCTAGAATTACTTATTTTTTTTTTTCTGACACCTTTTATCTGATCTTTAAGCATCTCCCTTAACTTTCAATATTATAAGTTTACCACAGAAAGATACTTGGGCTTTAAAAGAAGCAGCATCATATTTACTTGTCTGGCAGTATATCAATTTATTTGGTACTTGCTTAGCTTTTCAAACACAAATTACAGTGTTACTGCTTTTCTTTTATTATGGCAACTGTGTTATTTGACCTAAGTATCAAATTCTAAGTTTATCTTGTGTAAGTTGGTTTTTTTGTTTCGGTGGGGGGGGCCGGGTTTGTTGTTGGGGTTTTTTTGTGGTTTGGTTTGGTTTTTTTTTTAATTTTTACTTTTAAAAAGTCACCAAACAGGTAACCACTTCAGAAAAGTTACCTGCACACAGAATTAAGAACACTTTTAGAAGCTTTACTGTTAATAATTAATAATATAATTTATAT